CTTTCGATCAAGATAAGAGGCAAAGGCGTCTGTTAGGCAGCGAGGTGATGAAGTTCGGTGTGAAGGGGACGTAGAACCCAAGGATGACTTCCGGTACTTTCGGTGATGTGTTGCCAATCACACAACAGTAAGGCAATTTAAATATGTTAAGGTTTCAAGAAATAGTCACTTGAATATCTGTTAGTGAAAATCTTGATTGCAGTCGCTCCGATGAGCAAACTCTCGGCCACCATGTTGAATGTCTGCTCCTTGGTGCTCCAACAACGAATTGCGGAATTTAATAAAATTCGTGCATGGCACCGGCAAGTACAATTATTCACGAAATTTAGCAATTTTAGGAACTAAAACCACACTAATGCGGTTCAGCTGTATTAGCGTATTTTTTCATGCAGAAGCCTTTTCCAGGTATAAGGTAAGCTCTGAGATATGCATGCAGTTAAAAATGACTGCGGATTTGGAAATATGACGTGAACTGCTACTCGTTACAGTGTAAAACTATTTGCATTACATACTTAGAGAGGAAAAGATTAACAATCTGCATAAATCTACACTTGCTATTCTTTCAGTGAGTACCGATTCTCCCAGCCGGAGTAAAATCTAAAGTATGGACTCTCAGCCGAGCTGCTTGTCACAGATATTTGGGGCCTTTAACTTTCCCTTTAAGAGTCTGTCCTAAGTGATTTTTGTCCTCTCAAAGCCTATTTTGCATTCATGGAACGCCAGTTATTAGGCAAAGTTTCAATTTACTCGCAACTTTAAAAATGGACACAAAAAATTAAAAGTGGGTGCTAGGTTAGGATAATTTCCTGTTTTTCCACTCCCATTTTAAATGTCCCAAAAAATAACATCAAAAATTTCATTGTAAATGAAACCAAGATGTGTGTATAAGACAAACCAAAACTTTTGGAATTACTTAGAGAACAAGTCAAGTCCTTAGTCGTCAAAGCTATGCTTAGTTTTCAGCTGGACTTTCTGCTACATTTACATAGCAATTCTAGAGACTAGATGATGCTTTAAAAGATTCATCATAAAGAAATGTGCTAAATGTGGTTGAGCCACCCAGCATGGCCTGTTTCACCCTGCTATCAATACCGTAATGCC